TGGAACATGTAAACTAGTTTGAGGGAAAGTTTCCTATGCATAAGGGTCTATGAATATGCAACAGGATGATGTAAGGGAAAAAGTATTTAAGAGGTATCTCCAAAGATAACCTGTCCATTTTTAACCCTTTGCTTTATTTCTGTCTCCTACTGTCTTTTTATTAAACTTTTAAAATTTTACCAGGAAAGTGAACCTCGTTTTTCATATGACGTTGCATGGAAGGACTTTTAAAATGTAACTTGTTATGAATAAAAAGTTACCTATTTTTGTTTAAGATTACAGAGCTAAAACCGGTGGACCAATTGCTGTCAAATTAGCTTCATTGTTAAAGAGTTCTTATCTAATTGCCCGTCAATGGTTGGTGATTTAGCCATTGTCCGCCTGATGCTTGCCCAGGAGCAACACCTGGACCAAGCAGCCCAGGAGAATAGGAGTGGCCTGAGACCACGTATGCAGATGAGAAATGCACCGCTCCTAAATTTTCCCAGGAAAACCCCTAAAAACAATGAGCCAATATAGAAGGAGGGGACCCTAGGTGATGTCTAAGGACGCTGAGCTGAATCTCTTTAATAAAGGCATTAAAAAGGAGAAAGATCTCCTGCCTATTTATGTCATAACTTAAGGCTAAAGAAGTTTGAGTGAGTTTTTGGCGGAGAGATCCCCCTCACTCCCAGCACTGAATAAACAAATACCTGCTCTGTAGCCATCTGACCATAGAGTTTTATTTTCTTGTCTAGTTTTGGGCATCAGTAGGCGGTTTGGGAATGCTGTACCTTCCTTGTACATCAGCAATGGGGAAAGGAAGAGGGCAACATGCAGTCGGGAGTTTAGAACAAAAGGAGGCTGCGTTCTCCGAAGCCTCCAGAGAGAAACCCCACGGGGGTATGCCCCAGGGGACTCTCCCTTTATTCGAATAAAGTTGCAGGACTCCTCTGTCTCCTTTATGAACACCGGCTTTTCACAGCGTGATTTTCCTCACAAGTGGGAGCCCGGGAGAAGTTGAGGGCGGGGACCGGGGCTGAAAGGCTGGGTGGGGCCGAGCGGCCATTTCACTGCCGTCCCTATCACATCCGAAGCCACGGACCCTAGACTAGGCCGCCGTTGCTACAGTGACCGGCCAGTGGCGCCCCGCCGTGCACCGCGCGCCGAGCCCCGCCCCGGCCAATCGGAGGGGTGGTGGCAACGGAGCGAGATTCCCTTTGTTCAGCCATTTGAGAAGCCTTAGTGGGTTTTGGCACTGAGCTGCGGAGCCAGAGGACTGTCTGCTTCGCTCCCTCGCCACTTCTCTGCCGTCGGGGTCTGGGATGGTGTGGGTAGGTGTTTGGGTTACGAGGGGCGGGCTAGGACGTCCTATCTCCGGCAGCCGTTGCCTTCATGCCTACGGGCGGCAGTCGGGCCGGTTGGATAGCTGGGCAGCCAGCCGCGGGCCCGGCAGCCGTTATGGGTTTTCGCGCCGCCGCTGGGAGGGAAGCCATGCGGATCCGGACCTAGGCTGCTCCCTCTCTTCCCGCTGTCGTTGGCGGGCTATGTCGTCTCATCCGGATGGATTGGATGATGGGGGAGGACCGGGCATCCACCCACCTCTCCAGCTCCCTCGGCTCCTCCCAGTGCTACAGCTGGTGTCGTCCCAGCAGCCTTACGGTGAAAGTCACCTGGGGAATATAAGAAAGTGTCCATATTTCCGGCCTTTTTTTTTTTTTGTTTTTTTTTTTTTTTTTTTTTTTTTTCCTTAAGAAATATTCGAAAGGAGTGAAATTCCGTAATTATTTTGTACTTTTGTTGGTTTGCTTCCTTGGGGAGCTTGTTAGTTTAGGTGCTTAATGGAAATAGCTGATGGAACTCGTAAAGCCTTTGTGGAGTGACTGTACAAAAGGCACAAACGCATTTTGGGGTTGGCATAAATGGTTTGCTCAGTCTTCAAGCTCTTTATTTCCTTGCTGTGAAGGTAATTCCACTCCTTTGAATTTGCGCTCAGGACCCAAGAGGTCTTCCTACTGTGAGGCTTGTTCTGCTATGCACTCTGGCCACCACAGGTTCATAACTTGTTTGCTTGCCTTCTTGGCTGTTTTAGTAGTCCTTAATGTGGTATTTAAATATTTCCCAGATATTAGTAAATCCTTACAACAGTAATTGAACAAAACATTAATTTGTGAGTAATTGAACAGAAAAAATAATTGCATGCACAAGATCATACAAGGAGCCTTTATTAGAATTGCAAAGTGAGCCTATGATTCTAATGAAGAATCTCATCTGTGTGTAAAAATAACCATTTGTGGTCTGTTTCTAAAAGTCCTCACTTTGCATCTGCTGTGTGAACTGTAGTTATTTTGGCATTATATGTGGGAGGATGGAGGAAAGCTGCTCGCAGTTGGGAAGAATAGTTTTTATATGATCATTATTACTTTAGAGTGTATTTGTTCAAATTTTTTTTTGAGGAAGAACTTCTTTACTGTGTGGGTGACAGTGTACTGGAACAGATTGCCTGGAGAAGTTGTGTAGTCTGCCTCATTGGAGATATTCAAGAACTGTCTGGATGCAATCCTGTGTCATGTGCTCTAGGATGACTGCTTGAGCAGGGGGGTGGGACTAGATGACCCACTGTGGTCCCTTCCAACCTGATCCATTCTGTGAAAATATCTACTTAGCTTATACTCAAAGCACTGTAATGAAAAGGGATAATTATAATCCTGCAAAAACTGTCTTAAAGGTGGAAGGCTCTGGTTAGAATTAATATTGACTAAGGACCATTTTTACCATTGTATATAGGCAGTGAAACAGACTTCAGAGACTTCTGAAATTGATATAAATGTAAGCACAACTGCTAAATTGAGCTAAGCATGCCTTGTGGCAAGAAGGTAAAAATAACATTATTGGTGGGTTTATGAATGTAGACTTATTGGATTATCTGGCATATGTTTTTTTCCTAGTATATTTATTTAGATTGCAGTTTAGGAGTGCTTGTATGCAGATATTCAAGAGAATCGATATATGTGCTTAATTTTAGGTCCATGTTGTAAATCAGAGCAACACCAGGGACTGAGTTATCTTATAATCAGGTGATAGGTACGCACAGAGCTGTCCAGCAGATTGGCAGATCTGGAATAGAGTTTAATTCAATCAAATTTAATTCCTATTCCCACTTTGGGCACACCAAGATGCTATAGCTACAAAGGAGAGTGGCAAAAGGCCAAGTATAATCCTCCTTCATAAAAGCTGATATTCAGAATCTGTATGGTCTGAAGATCAGGGCTAAAATGAATACTGAGATTTTATTTTTGAAATGTTTAATTGATAAAGATCTCCTTTTGTAGACTCTGCATTGTCACTGTCATAAAAGTTTGGACCACAGGTTTGTGAAACTTCTGCACCAATCAATGCATTGTCAGTAGAATTGTGTCAGTGATATGCAACAGGGGGAGGATTTTTCTTTGTTTTTTTTTGTTTGTTTTTTTTTTTTTGAAAGGGCTAGGACTGTTTTTACCATTATTTTCATGTGTTATGTTGTAACTTTGAGTAGATTTGACCACATAAATGAATTTTACTAGTTAATTCAGTTCCAGATTCTTTGAACATTCAAATACATGTAACAGAATATTTTTGTCACCTATTCCACTTCTTTATAGTTTGATTTGGATAGCTTGGATAGGTTTTCTATATATTTTGATATATTTCATATCTATATGATGATTGAAAAAATGAATATGTATTTATGTGTATAATATACAGAAGCTATAGGGGCTCAGGATCAGAGCTGTAATTCCTACTGAAATTTTATTTTAAAAATATTTAATTGGTAGATATATATTTGTGTAGGCCCAGTGTTGTTTGGTTTATATATGTGATCTATCATATACATGATAAAGCAGTGTACATAATAATCTGTTTATGAATGTGCACATGGAGGCCATGGAATGTGGCATCTTTTAATGCCATATAAATAAATTTACAAACATCACTTTTAGCCTTCAGTTTTCCCTTTCCAGACCAGATTCCAGTGTAACTTAATCAATTAAAAAAATCACTGGTAATTTTCTGTGTACTGAATGCTTTGAAATTTTGTTTGTGTATATGTACATTTTTAGTAAAAAAAAATTAACATGTTAAGAAAACTTGGGGATTTTGAGCCTTGAGGATAAAGTTACCGTTAAATTATTCCTCTGTTAAATAATTTAATTTTATATAACGTTTTCTACAAGCCATTGTGCAATCCCTTAAACATTCAAAATATGCTGCTTATGTAGAAGCTGCCATTAAGGGCATTGATTTAAATGATTGATGTTAAATATAACGGCAGAGGAAAAGGCAAGATAAAATGTTTTTTGGAGAATAGGAAATAGTATGTAAGTAGGTATAAAGATGCAAGGAAACTGTTTATTAGAAACCAAAAAGGAAATACTTGCAGAAATTATGGTGAGGTAGCACAGACCAGGGGTTTCCAAACCTAGTTAGGAGGTATATGATCATCATTAGTAACTTCTGGCATCCAGAGTCACATGTCTTTCTAACCACACAAAACCAGAATCTCATCTATGGCTTTTCTGCTCCCAGCTTTTCTACTGGATGTTCTTGTCTTGCAAGCTAGGATTGCAGTCCAATGCTCATACTCACCTTCCCCATCCATTCATGCAACTGCAGAAGTTTACTCTAATTTTTCACTTCAGCCACATTCTTTCCCCTTGCACATGTCCAAATCCTGAATCTTCACTTCCAGCAAGTACAAAGTGGAACCTTAGTTACCCCTGTGTGTATGCCATCACCCTAATCCTGGTCTTCCTACTTCACAATGTTTTGGTCCTCTTTCTATATCCTGAACTAGAAGTGCAGGTCTGCCTGGAGGCAGCAGAGCTGTTCATTGTTGTTGAATGCAGATGGTGGCTGCAGTAGTTCCTGTGTTTACAGAGCCTTTATAGGACTTAGTAGGTAGTTACTCTGCTGCCTGTGTAAAAGCAGTGAGAGCCAGGAGCCGTGGCTCAGTTCAGGATTGAGCATATCACAAAGCAAACATGAGTGGTCTGTGCACTATAGTTTGGCCACCTTTCTTATAGAGAAACAAGGAAAGTCAGTAGCAGACAACTGTGGAGAGACAAGAGTAATTCTCATTGGAGAATAAAAAGCACAGGTCTGATTTTTAAACCAAATAAGCTAAATCAATGCAAAAGTCCAAATAGATGCCTTTATTTCAGTCTGCTTCACATCAGCTGAGCTTGAGTCCATTCCTTAAAAAAAAACCCCAAACATAAGGCAGCCTTAAATTTAAAGAAATTGTTCCACACAGGATCTTGAAAATTGACATATAAGCAAGTTTAAGCTAAATGGATATAACTTTCTTGTGCAGTCAAGCCCTGAGCTATCTGTCTGAAAATCAGGAGGGATTTTACTGCATTCTGTTAGGTGTAATGTAGGCAAGTGGAATTGACATAAGAGGTGAAAGTTTCAGTTGTTGACTCAGGTCCATAAATAGTTAAAACCAAAGAAGATCAGGTTTGAATGAACCTTTTGAGCACATGGGAACCAATTGCATTAACAAGAACACTAATAATGTAATTATGTTCTTCACTCTTATGTGAGAGACTAGTCAGCACTAGGTTGAAAACACGAGTCTGAAGAGACATGCTATTGGAGCTCCATGGAAAAGGAATTAAGGTAGACAAAGTGATGAGAGGAAATGATTGGTTAAAAAAATTATGGTTTTGTGTTTCTCTCTTGCACAGTGCAAATGTGTGTATTTGGGTGTCACATCTTCAAATATCTGTTTATTTAAAAATCCTTTAACCTTTGATGTGTAAAAATCCAGTTGGTCATTTGGTCATGTTACCAAACATCTTCAGACATCTTCCCTTCCAAAGTCCTCCTATCTGTAGAAAATACTATAAAAAGTCTTGTATTTCTTGACTAAAAACTGGGTAATGCACTGTAATTTCACACGATGTTTTGCTTCTGGAGAATACCCTATTACAGTTGTCCTCTGTGCCAATGAGTACTTGTAATATATTTTGCAATTTATAATATATCTTTGATTTTCGCAAGGAAGCATATTTTAGGTTAGGCACTCTCCATTCTAATGATTCTCTTAATTTCTTGGTGATTGCACAGAATCAAAATAGCAACCAAAAATAAATCACAATTGGTGGTATTTTCACAGCTTCCTTCATTTAGAGTGTACATTTCAAGACATGCTTTGATTTGTTTGCTACTTACGTTTGGAATCCTTTAAAATGTGGATTGGAAAAGATGATACTGAGATGGGAATTTTGAGACAGAGGAGAATCTTGCATGTAACCACTACTGAGTTCAATCTCTCATTAATAGTTGT